TATTAAACTAATGATACCATAGGAATCACGATGATCACTACACTCCCTTTGAGAGGCGAGATTAAGAGAGAGAGAGAGAGAGAGAGAGAGAGAGAGAGAGAGAGAGAGAGAGAGAGAGAGAGAGAGAGAGAGAGAGAGAGAGAGAAAGAGCGAGAAAGAGAGAGAGGGAGAGAGAGAGAGAGACCATAGGAAGGTTAACAAAATAATAAATGATATGAAGAAAAAAATATATAATAAAAAACTAAGCTTAAGGTCGATTTAATGTAATTTTATTTTAAAATAACCAGAAAAAAGTTATAAGGGCCAAAAGATTTATTCAAAGATTTTAGTTATTTTTGTTTGTAACTTTTTTTTCAATTTTCGATTAAAATATATATAAATAAATACAATTTAACTTGCTATAAATAATGTTTTATAAAATTGTCACTCTCCTTTTCACTCCTTATTTCAAGATGGCGAGTATTCAAGGACCCAATCAACATTGGAGCGCTGCAAAAACTAGAAAATGAATGAAATTAAACAAATTTGTAGTGAAAATTACTCTATGATATTGCTCTGATATCATTTTATTTATTAACGGAATCCATTTACAAAAGTTTTCACACAGCTACACAACCATCCATTTTTTTAAAATTTATTGTTTTTTTTTAATTATTGTTTTATTGTAAAATCGCTAGAAAAAGTTATAAGCGAAAAATTTTTCAAAATTTTTTAGTTATTTTGGTTTATAACTTTGTTATTTTTTATTCTCCGATAAAAAGTAATACAGATAAAGTTGTAGAAAATTTAATTTGGTAAAAATAATTATTTATAAAATTTTCTGTAGAGTTGCTAATTTACGAGATACAGCGCAAAAACCCTTTGCCTCTCTTTTTCCAAGATGACGGCCTGGGAACAAGGGTTGCGACTTCACAAACTTGAATTGAAGTTTATACTCACCACCCCCACATATCAAAAAAATTAAATTGCATCCTTTCAAAAATCTAATGTAACTTTTCAATTGAATAAAAAATAAGTAGCTTATTCTATACAAGTATATAAATAGAAATACGTGTTCTTTTATTAAAAATTTCAGTGTCGAAGTAATTTCTGTGAAACAAAATATCCTCGTTTATTTTACTAAATATATACACTGTATACCAATACATTTTCCAACACATAAAAATTAACGATAACATCACCATATGAACGTAAACAATCTTACTCTGTAATTTGAGCCAGATAAAATGATTCAATAGTTGAACAACACTGTTGCCAGCTAAGTCGAGTCTGTAATATGGCAATATGGTTTAACACATAAGTGATATACACATTCAGTATACTCATAAAAGCGCTCTCCACGGCAAATGGCTGAATTAAAGGCGACTTTACGGACTCATTTTGTTTTATAATTTGCAGCTATTCTATAATACCCACAATTTTTGTAATACATTTGTGCAGTAGGTAGAGGTCTCTAGTTTCTCATTCAATAAAATTTTGGTAGAAAATAACAATCAGTTAAAAGAAATACATGAAAAACTTTACGGACTCTGTATATTGAGTCCATAAATCGCTCGAGTCCGTTGTGTATGGTAAAAACCTTAATGCAGAGTCTGCAATGTTAGGAGGATATATATATATATATATATATATATATATATATATATAATGTTGTGATAGAGTTAGGTAGGAATCCCACCAAAGTTAGTTCAATTGACAAATTAACAAGGCGAAACGTAAACGTGTGCGTTAGAATTAAGGGAGAAGCCTACTTAAAAACAACATTAATGACTCGGTTTTTGGATATAATGCTGTGAACGACCGAATAATATACATATGTACACTTTAAAGCAGCGGTCGGAGAACTTTTTTAATCATTACCCCAAAACATTTTTGTGTAAGTTGATATTACCCAAGGCAAAAAGCAAAAAAAGGCCTCTTTTTAGCATCATTCATATTATAGCCCCATGATAGTTTTGAACAGAAAACAATAACTAAAACATAAAATACACATCATTTATTCAATTTCTATGATACCTAGAAATACATAACATAATAATAGATAACAATAATAAGATATAAAAAATTAAAACCCATTGCGGTACTTTAACAAATTATAATAATAATAATGGTTGTACTAACAAAAATTAGATTTGAAAAAATTATAAAAAAAGAATAATTAAAAACATTCTTCCTTCACGTTTTGGAGAAATGATATTGTTTCATGTTCGATACAATTGCTTCAAAATTGGGACTTTTTGATGTAAGAGCGATTTGAATACAGTCTTCGGCGTTTAATCGATTTCTGTTCTTCGTTTTTATGTTCACTAGAGTGGAAAAGCCTTGTTCGCACAAATATGTTGTTCCAAATGGCAGTAATTTTTTAACCGCCTCTTCATGTGCAATTTTGAAAGCCTTTGCAGCTTTTGATATCCAAAAAGACGACAGATTTGGTTTACTCTCAAATTGGATACGTGCTTCAGTATTAGATCAAAGTTCAAGAATTGCTTCTGCCAAACCTGAAGGTTCTTTTGGTATCATATCAATTTCACATTTAAAAGGATCTACAATCCAACTGACAGTACGTATATCAAGATCTGGAAAGTAATCTGAAAACCGCTTTCTGAGTTTGATAAGGTGTCTTACAAGTGTATCCTTGATGTCAGCAAAATTAATATTTTCGCAATCTTCCAAAAACAAAGCTAATCTTGAAAAAGAAGCTATCTTGTTCTTTTCTACTTTCTGACTCCAAAATTGCAGCTTTAATCCAAACGCTGACACTATTTCTCTCGCTGAAATGATATTAATATTCTTTCCTTGCAATTCTTTGTTTAATATATTTATACTCTCAAAAATGTCAGCTAAATATGCGAGATATGCAACCCAGGAAGAGTTTTTAAACTTATCTGCGAGAATATTTTTTGATTAACCATAAAAATTTCCACTTGAGTTTTGAGATCCATACTCGATTTAGTACATTTCCGCGAGAGAGCCACCTTACTTCTGTATAATAAAGTAGGTCCGTATATTCGGCTTCACCGTCCTGACATAATTCACGAAATAGCAGCGTGTTTAGTGCATGTCCCTTGATAAAATTTACAATCTTGATGACATCATGCATGACGGCTTCCAGTGTAGGTTCTAAATATTTGACCATAAGGGCCTGGCGATGGATTATAGAGCGAATAACTTCAATATTTGGGTTATATATTTTTACGAAAGCCGAAAAACTATTAATATGGCCCAGAATAGCTGGAGCTCCATCCAAAGATACTGAAATACAGTTTTCCCATTTTAAACTTTGCGCATTGAAGTATTCATTTACTTTATTGTAGACATCAATTCCACGAGATCTTAACTCGAGATGAGAACAAAACAGCAATTTCTCTTCAAAATTATCTGCACCTTTGTAGCGAACATATACCATTAGCTGTGAATTGTTACTAAAATCAGTTATCTCATGAAGCTGAATAGCAAAATATTTAGTCTGTTTTAATGAGAAAATAACTTGTTCCTTCACATTTTCTGCTAATATAGAAATTCGCTGATGAAATGTACCAAACAAGTTGCTATTCAATCTTCGTCTTTTAACAGATATTTCTAAATTTGCAAAGTATTCTCGCGGTTTGGAAGACAGGTGTGAATGCAGATTATGTAAATGTTTCTTCAGTTAACTTTTTTTGAAAGATTCTGGAGTCAATACCTTCATACATACAACACACTGTGGTTTGATTGTACCATTGTCTTCTATTTGTGTAAAACCGTAATTAAGGAATTCGTCTTGATATTTTCTTTTTCTATTTGCTGCCATCTGAAGGAGACAGAAAATAATAGTTGTAAAATACTTAAATTAAATTTTCAAATTGCGGCTTACCTTGATCGATATATCGATGGTTAATGATTGTCAGCAACTAACTATAACTCTCTGGCTCGTCAATTTATTTGTATTCTGACTGCACGGCACGGACTGAGCAGTCTTTATATGCCCTCCGAGGGCATATAAAAAATTTACAAAGGATAGTAGGAAAATGTAATTTATCTTTCACAAATAATACAAAAAAATTTCGGTGCATGCAAAACAGGTTTATAAAAAATCAAATTAAAATATATACTTTTTGCTTACAAGTTTCATTTTTACCCCCAAAAATTTCATTTTTACCCCATTTGGGGTAATTTACCCCGGTTCCCCGACCGCTGCTTTAAAGGAAACCCATCCAACCGATCGAATCCTTATCCAAGTTTATGTCATTAAATCACAGCACAAGAAGACGAAATCGAAGGCTTTTACAATTTACAATAAATAGGAGACAACAATAAATCAAATCTCAGGTGCAGAAATGATGGTGAAATACGGTGATGGTAAACCTTGAATGAGTGAGAACGACCGCTGCAAATTTGCATCAGAAACAACTATGCGCTACAAAAAATAAAATAAAATCCGTATATGGAGGCTGTACACTACATATCTACCGCTAAAATACTTTAAATTTTTCTATCTCCAGAAAGAGATTGCTGTAATTAGCTGTATAGAAGGCAGCGAATTCTATACTAAAAACACGAATATACCAGTCTTCCTGTGTAAAAGTTTGTGATCAGGTTACACTATTACACGTGTCAGAAAGTTAGGTATATTAATCAAAAATTTCACTACGGAGTGGACACAATACGTAGACACCATCTATCTTTAATGGCAGAGAAGACCTGTGCTTCGGTCTTCGGTTTAATCCACTACTATCTGATGAGCCCCAATATAGAGTGAAACAAGTCATAGTGTGACCGAAGTACAAACTTTTAGACAAAATGAACAGGGAATTCATACACTCTAGCGCTTAGCACGACGAACTCTATGGCAGTACTTGATTATCTTCTTCTTAACGTGCCCTATCAAGTCCCCTTGACGTTGGCGATTAACATGGCGAAACTGTCTCTGTCTCGAGCTATTCTAAATAGTTGCTCAGCTTTCTTTATTCCTGATTATCTATCCTTGATTATCTATATAATTAAATATAATAATTACTTACCATAATATGTTTATTAATATTTCTACCATGCTTCGTTTTAAGAGAACAATATGGACAACTAAAAAGTTCAATTTCAGAATCATTTTTGTGGACAAGCATGTGCCTGGCAAGATTATACTTGAGTGGAGTTTCATATATACATTCTGGACACTTATGTAAGGGAAGGTCAGTAGGGTTACCATGTATCAGAGTGTGGCGATTGAGGTTAGCCTGAGAATCTGTTTTGTAGTTGCAAAATGAACATTTTTGTTTCTTGCTTACTGCTAATATTAAAGACTCTGCCATATTAATACTGGTTGATAGTTCTATATCAATGTCCTTTTCAATGCTCGCCGGTGCCAGGATTTCTTTGCTAAAAATAAAAGTTGAATGCTAGAATTGTTATTCATGGTATTTAAATTAAATTCAAATACTACAGCAAAAAATACAGGACGTAAGACCATGAAACTCTTAAATTACTCTATAGCCTGAAATAACCCGATTAAACCTAACTTACCTTAATATATATATCAATGGAGTTCGAGGACTTTGTACAAGAAGCAAATATTCGTTATCAGAAATCATTTAACCTAATTTTGTACAATTTACCGAATCAGAAGGTGACGATAAAGAGTCAGAGGATGTATCCAAGGTTTCCACGATTGTAAATACAATAAAACGGCTCATTTACATCCGTTTTTCGTAATGGAAAGGTTAACAATAGTAATAAACCTAGGTCAATAAGGATAAATTTGCAGATAATGATAGTCCATTATTTATGTTGCTCAATAAGAAGAGGTTGTTAAGAATTAAATTTTCTAGAGTACAATTGAAGGATGACTTAACTATATCAAATCAACTATTTAAATAAAGTGCGAGAGGAACTGAAAAACGAAAAGTACCTAACAAGGAATTAGCAATAAAATATAATAATACAATTCCAACTATTATTAGTACTAACCAACAACATGCAGCAAAAAATGAATAAAGTTGACAAAATACTAATATTGCTTCTTTACATGTTAAGTTTGCTGACTTTTTGTCATGTTTACATCTTCATATTCCGATGTTCACATTTTTGTTGTCACAAAATCCTGGTTAAGTCCCAGAATACCTAATTCTTTTGTAAAACATAATGGTTATTCCATTTATCGTAAAGATCGTTTAAATCAAGCAGGAGGCGGAGTATGTGTTTATTTTCATAGTGGACTCTTTATAAAATCTAAGATAAGTACTGTGTTCCATTTTGTAACGTAACTTGCCGGGATGGAAAGTGAGGAAAGAAAAGAGAAGAAGAAAATCCAGGTGTAAGTTAGTTCATCTTGCAAACCGACGCTCCAGTGTTTTGAAAGGACACAATGGCGGACACGGACGTAAGTCAATAGATTTGTGAAGAAGGTATATTTAAAAAATGGGAAAATTGAAATGTAAACCAATGAAAACGAGAGAATTTGGTACTAAACGAAAAGGGAAAATGAAAGGGCGCCACCTAGTCCTTTGTCGAGGGATGGGGAAAACTCGACAGTTGACCTATAAGAAGATTGGCTTAAGGAGGATAAAAAACCAGAAGAAAGGAAGATTAGGAGAGAGTAATAAACAAATAATTGCTACAAATTAACAACATTTATTTTTCAAGAGTTCAGCCAGGTAAAAGTTATTATAGAATGTCAAGACATTAGTAAAATGTCGGAATAAATCAAACAAGGAAAAGAGCAAAAAATCAAAAATCAGGTATTAAACAAATATTCCTAAAATTATATGGAATACCTTTATAATTGTATTGTTCTGAACATATTTTCTTATAGCATTTTACAGTAATTAATATTTAAATGGGAATAAGCCAAAATTAAAGGTTAAAATACGTTTATTGACGTTTCAATTTCCACTTCGGGAATCGTTCTCAAAATACAAACATTAGTAAATTGATAAATAATTTTAATTTAATGATTTTAATAAATAATCCCAAATTTTGGCATATGCAGATAATGTTGACCTAGTTGCCCGCACAACACGCAAACTAGAAGAAATGTATACCACCTTGTCAAATGCCTAAAAAAATATGGGCCTTCAAGTAAATGAGGAGAAAATTAAGACAATCGCATCAACACCCAACAATAGAGCCAGAAACATCGGCCACCAATTCACCGTTGATAACTCTACCTTTGAAGTAGTGGACAAATTCACATACTTAGACTCCCTGATCACCAAGGAGAACGTCATGACGGAAGAAGTCAAGCGAAGAATAATCCTAGCAAACAAATGCTATTTTGGATTGAGTAGATATATCAGAAGCAGAAACTTAAGCCAAAAACAAAAATAACCATATAAAAAGCCCTTATACAACCAGTGTTGACATATGGATCGGAGACATGGACCATTTCCAAGGCAGATGCAAACTTCCTGCTTATATTTGAAAGAAGGATCCTGAGAAGAATATTCGGTGGCACCTGTGAAAATGGTGTTTGGAGAAGGAGGTACAAATACGAGATATATCACAGATATAAATATATATTTGGTGGTAAAGACGTAGTATCTCTTATAAAAATACGAAGACTAAGATGGGCAGGACATCTGGCAAGACCACAACAGAAAATCCTCCTAGAAGAATCCTTATGTCACAACATGTGGGAAGTAGAAGTAGGGGTAAACCAACACACCAACACAGATAGAGGGATGGCGTAGTTGACGATGGTAGAAAAATAGGTGCAGCAAATTGGTAACAGTTGGCAAAGGATAGAACTGACTGGCGTAATAGACTTGGGAAGGTTGAGGCTCTTTTATAGGGTTGTAGCACCAATGATGATGATGAGAAGTCACAGGGGCTAAATCTGGCAAATAGGGCGGTTGCACCATGATTATGACCTGGTTTTTGGCCAAATAGTCATGAAGTGTGCGTTGTAAGCCGGCGCATTGTCAGCATGGAGGTTCCAGGAGTTCTCTTTTCATATTTCGGGCTTCTTTTGACGCTTTTTTTTGGAGTCTTCGTAACACCCCTAACTAGTAATACTGATTAATTATCTGATCTTGTGGTACCCGTTCCATCTTTATTTTTAATACATTCCAGGGTGTCAGAACAAATACCTTTAAAATGCATCTTCTGTTCCGCCGTTGGGAGTCTAAATTTAGCACACACACGTTCAGTAACGGTCTTATACTCAAATGACGATCTTTTTGAAGCATTTCGGTTACTTTTTGATCGACTTATCTACCGTTATAAACAATAATCTCCGTAAATTCACTTACAAAGTTTCATAGCTTTCCTACACGCACTTCCCGAGTTTTAACAAAAACTTCGAATTCACCCTGCTCAATTTTTTATCCAAAATTAGTTTTTTATCCGATAGAAAGCGCCAGAAATGAAAGCACAGTGGAGAAACGATAACTGAAAACAGATGTACTTTTTAAAAAAATTTTAAAAAGTAAGCATGTGTCGGACCAGCATTACCATAACAATACACAAAAAAGAAAATAGCAAAAATACTACCAATTATCGTACAATTACCTTGCTCAAAACAACTCTTGAACTGCCAACAACAATCTTTCCTAATAAGATTTAAAAAATTCATAATCAGTGAAGGGCAATAAAGATTTCGACAAAGTAGAGAAACTATAGATGACATATTCATAGGCAGATAAATTAGTAAGAAAACATTAGAATATAACCAACTTATCTATATAACATTTGCAGGTCTGGCTAAAGCATTAGACTGCATTAGATTATCAAGACGTGTTACAATTATTAAAATGAAAAACAGTCCAATACAACGGTAAAAATAATTTAAGAAATTAAAAGTAACAAAACGACAATTTAAATTGACAAGTAACTATTATCAAAAGTAGTTATCAACTCAGTAAGCCGGCAGGGAGATAGCTTAAGTCCACCTCTTCAACTTAGTAATACTACAAAATCATAACGAGCAGAAAACAAATTAAAATGCTTTGTTACACAGACGACTCAGTCGTGATATCAGATAATGGAAATAACCTACAGCCAATAGTAACAAACGTTCAACACAATGGCTGAGACATACAATATGCAAATATCTATCATCAACCAGGGGTGTAGGGTTGTGTTATAGAGGTAGTACCTTTTATCGGAACGACCACATCGAGCGTCATAGACGGGAGATGGTTCTTGATTACTGGTCCTCATAAGACACCCAACTCTCACTTATGGCTCCACGTGCCACACCCTGGGCAACTGCATTGGTCTGCAGGCTAAACTAAGTGAGGGTAACCAGATATGGTGAAAATAGCAACGTCTGTACCCAGAATGGGCGGTTGCAAACGGCGTCTGTTCCATAGTGGGCGGCTGAAAACTAAGCCCTGAAGCGGCATGAAGGAAGGCAACGGGATACCACCTTCATTATATTTCCCAAGACAATCACATGAATACATTCAACTCAAAATTATCCGGAGGTATAAATAGTTCCCCAATCGGATCTCCGGGGGAGCGATCTTGAATGTTTCAAGCGTACGAGCAAACTTAAGAAAGACATTAAAGATAGGCACCTGGAATACACGCAGCTTCTTTGAAGCCGGGAAGCTGGCTAACCTAACTCAAGAAATGAGCAGATTAGATCTAGATATTCTTGGGATCTCAGAAACCTGGTGGCCTGGATCCGGTAAATGCACTACAGAAAGCGGAACATTCTTTTACTCAGGCAATGATGACCGCGATCATAGAAAAGGTGTCGGGATTATGATAACTAAAAGATTGGTGAGAGCTGTCACAGAGTTTGTACCATATTCCGACCGCACAGCCTTAGTAAAACTTGAAGCGAAGCCAAATAATCTCAACATCATACAGGTTTATGCACCAACTACAGACGCATCAGATGAAGTAGTGGAAAACTTTTATAGTGAAATCAAAGAACTACTTAAATTGACAAAGAAACATGGGCCCTGATTCTAATTGAGATTTCGACTGAAAACATGTTGAAATCAATATGGCGACGTCGAAATGCGACTTTGCGAGCCTAGTGGATTTCAGCTGAACTAACCAAAGGACGTCACTAAATTTCGATTTATCGAAATTAATTTCAACTTCAAGAAAGTGGTTGAAATTTAATTTCGAGTCGAAATTAATCTGACATGACTAGCGGGACTGGGAGAAGCGAGGTTAGGTTCAGTTTAGGCGGTGTTGTTTTGTTTGATTGTTGCAACGAAAACTGAGGCAAAAAGTATTAATATGGCTGCGTTTTATCAAAAATTGTATGTGATTCGGCACATAATTGGTCGAAATTTTAACACCTATAAAAATAGAACTGCGGTACCTGGGGGCACCAAGCCAGATGCTACTGATTATTTTTTAAAATATACTGTGGTGTAAAAATTAAAGAAATAAAATGTCCCAATATTAAAACTAAATTG